GCGCCCAGCCGCACCGCTGGCTCTTGGCACCGGAGGGAGCGACCCCGGGGTCCTAGCGAGCACGCTCGCTCTGTCCGTCTGACCGGCCCGGAGAGAACTGGGTCTTGGAGGAACCTGAGCCACCTACTTCATTCGGTGTCCTTTCTTTCCAGGTTTTGAGGACTCGAGGAAGTGGGACGAGAGCGCCTTTCTGTTGTCTTCATTTGGATGGAAAACAAGTCTCCCTGCTCTGCACCAGACCAAGTAGTTTGGGCATCAGCCGACCGATAACTTGCAATTCCTCTTAGTTTTCTGCATCCTTTTCCTCATCACAATGCAGGAAACGATTTCAAGGCGAGAAGGCTTTATTTATGAACCTTTGAAAGGATCTCCCAGTATGGTGGACCTTCTAGGAGCGAAGATGTACTGTAATTTTATTTTAATGTATTTTGATTTATGATTATTTATTAGTTTTTTTTAAAAAAATATTTGTTCTAAGACATTTCTGAATGTAGGCCGTTTTCCAGAAAAGGAACTTTATTTTCAAAAATCTATTTCCTAGTAAGTTCTAATCTTGGAAAGGAAAAAAAGGAGGTGTAGGGGAAAACATTAAGACTTCATTCATTCATTATTCCTAGGTCAATTTCAGAACCCGGACACACGCATTGTTATGCCAGGTGGTTGAAATTAAACTCTGTGATATAACTTTCTTTTTGGAGATTATTTTTTTCCCTTTAGACTCTGTGTTGTGTAGAATAGAAGTTTAAAGAAGCTAAGTGCTCAGAATTGTGTAATTGTGAAAATCTGTTTTTCTAAAAGGAAATGAGTAGTAATGACACCTAATTCGCAATATTTAAAACATAACCCACCTGATGGCAGGATGATCTTGAATGTGTGGTAGGGCTATGTCTACAGTAGAAAAAACCTTGCTTATGCCATCTGTGAAGGGTTTAATAAGGAGATATTTATGGTTTATGAGTATAAATGCATTAGGTGTTTCATTTCAAAAAACATAGAGGGCGGGAGGGAATCATTCAGCTTGTCTGAGAGAACATTTCTGTGTTCTGTCCACACTAGAGATTACCCTTCGCCAAGGGCTTTGCACCCTTTACTGGAACCACATTTCCTTACTTTATTCTAGAAACATATCCTAGAATCTTAGAGTTTAAAAATAGAGTTTGTAACTATTTCAAAGGTCTAAGAGTCATAACTCTTTGTTTTCTTACTGAAAATAATGTTAATCAGAGAAACCAATTGTTTTGCTTTTTATTGCTCTGTGAGAAATTGGAGGGTTATATGTTTTGTTGTTAGGTTAACTAAACTCAGAAATTGACAAAGGAAGGACTGGATAAACACCGGGTTTTCAGTAGGAAAACAACCCCAGTCTTGTTTTAGCAGCCACTTGTTCCTGAGGGGTTGGGGTGGGGGGGTGCTTTTATAGGTGGAACAAACCCTCTTCTGTGTTAAATCAAAAGGATGGTCAGAATCCGCAAGGGCAGATGCTCCTTCAGTTTAAAACGAGCCATAGATGATACGAAATCCTCTTGGGGCTGAAAATCACTTCCTATCTGCATGGCTTTACTAACGGGCCTCTGTTTTCCATTATCTTTTGCAAAGCCTTGATCAGTATTTTTCCAGCATCCAAATTGGAAGGTGGATATTAGGCCGATGCTAAATTATGTAGTCAAGAAATGAAAGCAGAATTTTATGCTAGAGATACCTTTATTCTCCTTCCATCTGGAAAGGAGTTTCACGGTCAAATTACTTGTTAGTGCAATATTTAAATGATGGAATTTTGAGGCCATAACTCTAATCCAAAAAGTTGCAGGGGTAATCTAAAACTTGAGCAAATGGCAAATAGAACTTAAGGGGACTCCCACCCCACTTCCAGAGGCTGTTTAAGTTGTGGCTGTGAACATTTGCTGCAAAGATTTAAAAAATCATACACACACACACACACACACACACACACACACATACACACATACACACATACATATGATGGGCAGCTCAGAGAGTCAAATCTAAAGAGTTCTTAAGCCAAGTTTGGTTTAGCTTTGGCACCCCTGTTGTAATTTTAAGATAATGCCTCATTGTACCAGTGTTTTAATATATGTAGATCATATAACCCCTATGAAACCACAGCTTTTTTCTTTTTTTTTTCAGATAGAAGGATTTTTCTTCCAATTCTTGTGTTATAAAAAAAGATAATATTTATACTAAGTAGTTTTAAAATTAAGATTCATTAAGCTTAAATATAGGCTAAGTATTGGCTGGTGGAATTTTTCTACCACCATGTCTGTGGTTCCTAATGGGCCATCAAGATCATGGTTCCTTGTCCTGTCTTTCCACAGCCCTTAGTCCTTGGTCTGCTGTGATATTTATGTTGAGTTGACCCTCTTAGTGCCTCTCTAGTTTGAAGGTCTCTTAATATTTAACTGTGAAAACTCAGAAATGAGAAAGGAGAGAAGTAGGATGGTTTTTGTGTTTTGACACTTTGAAATTATTATGGTTGAATAATTTTCCAGAACAAAGAAACAACTATGCTTAACAAAGCGCAACAAAACAAACAAAATACAAATGCAAAGCATTTTGCGAGTCAGTGGTTCTATTCTACCTGTAAAAAAGTGATATTAAACACTTAAGGTATTACAAGGCCTAACCAATTACCTTTATGGAAAAAGATAAAAGTATTTCTTTAAACCCAAGAAAAAGAAGAAGGAAAGGGCAGGTCCAACAGAAAACTCACCCTTTAAATAAACATAAAATGTAAAAAGTTGGGAAATTTAAAGGATTTTCCATCTGGAAACTGAAATTTTGTCTTGAAACTTCTGCTGGCGCCAAGCTTCGTACACAGCTCAGTAACTATTTGTTGGGAATAATGAATGAAAGGAGGAAAAAATGTGTAACATCCCAGCACCCAGGAGGTGGTTTCTCTTTCTCTTGCCTCACATTGAGCTTCCTTTACGCTCATTTCATTCCCTGAGAAAAGCTAATCCTGGACAAGCTGCTCCACATGAGGAAGCTCCTTAGGCATACTTTCTTAGTGGAAATCAGATCTGCTTATGCCCTACAGGGAATGCTGAGGTCAGAGTAAATGCCTATAAAGAGCTCTTTCAAAATGAACATTTCCCTCATAGAGGAAGCTGGAATTTTCTCATATGGAAATCGAACCAACTTTATTTCACTTAACATTTTTTCAAGTGGAGGTAGAAAAACCCAACTCCTTGCTTCAAAGAATTCCCCTCATATGTAAACACTGTTAAGAAGTCTGGCTTAAGTTCAAAGGCATTTTTTTGGTGTGTGTGTGTGTGTGTGTGTGTGTTTTAAACTCTGTCCTCATATACCCATTTCTCTTAAAGATTCCTCATTTTAAATCTGACACTACAAGTTTGTTGCTAGTGTGGAAGTTCAAACACATCACTTGTTTTCGGCCCCCAGGGAGAGTGACTTGGTTTTAGCTTGTCTCCAAGTGTTTATAATATCATGTTCAATGGCAGGTTTAGAAGAGGGGTGAAAACTAGATCAATCCCATAAAATATAGAGCTTTGTAGGATGAGGACGGGCTTGTGAACATTCATTCTTCTCTTTGTTTTTTGTTTGTTTTTTTGTTGGTAAATGTAAACAAACTTCCTTTTGCTTTACCAGTAAAATGCCTTCAGCTGACTAAAATTTAAATTTGGAAGTTACAGAGCTTGATATTGAATACATCTGTGATTCTTATAAAAGAAATATGCCAATTTACCCAAAACAATCTGAGATGTATTAATTATGAAATTGTGTTGGGTGGGTTTTTAATAACTACTTTCTAAAGTTTGGACACAATTTGAAGGGTGACTTTTTGGTCTGTATGTTGTACAGCCAATCTAGAATTACATCCCATTAGATGACAAAGTGATCTGCAACTTCATTGGCAGGACATCTGCTAAATGGAGTGTAGGATCCAACAGGGTTTTCTTAGGGCATTATTGTCCAGTGAAGGAAGCAGAGAACTCTGGGTCATTAGCAGCATCTTCATAAAAGCTGGAGAGGCCTACTCCCTATCGCTCTGAAGCTGGCCTAGTGGGATAGTGAGGAATTGGTTTTTAATAATAGGTGGTCCGTCCAGATCACTGTAATAATTTTGAGAAGGGAGATAAAATGATTGTCTGTTACATTCCACTGTCGGCTTTCTGCTTAGTTTCAGAATATGCAAGTACCGGCTTCTGAAAAACAAGTATCACAATGTACCAAGTGCTTTACTATCACATTCCTGAACTTAAGTATGCTCATAATTTGTGTAAATATGTCTCTTAAATGATTTGGGGAGATGTGATTTATTTTTCATATTTTAAAAATGCATTCCATTTTAAATAAAGTATCGAATGAGATGACTGATCTGTGGACCCTTTGAAGGCCTTGCTGACCGGGCATAGACACTAGGCTTCCCTATGGGAGAAGGGTTCTAAAGGGCTTGTTTGTCTGTTGAAAAGCCTTTGACCATTCTGAGAAGAAAAAAACCATCTGGGGGATTGGAAATTTACTTTTAAAAACATTAGCTGGACATTTTGAATATAGGATATAAAAATTCACTTAGATCTTTTGGGAAAATAATTACCTTTCAGAATGCTAATGAATTCGAGTTGAATTTTCCATAATGCCCCAGAGGATAAGTAATGGTTCCAGTAATTGGCTTGAATTACTTGAGTCCCAGAAAGATTCTAGTCCTTCTATGTCTCTTGAGAGGGTAGAGCCTTCACTCAGAGAATCACTCTTCACACAGGTACCTATAAAGCTTCCTGTTTTATGTTGAGAGCAGAATAGAGGCTTGATTCTTTAAAGGAAAATAGCATAATTTTACAATCTCCATTGGCATCTAAAAAAACCTTTAAATCTCAAGACTTTAACATAGAAAACTTGAAAGTAGTTTTCATTTCTCTACTGTTTTAAGCAGAATCTTTTTTTAAGCAAGATTTTTTATTTTATTTTATTTTTTTAAAGAAGAAATGAACCCTGGCCAGGTAGCTCAGTTGGTTAGAGCAGGTTCAATCCCCGGTCAGGGCACATACAAGAATCAACCAATGAATACATCAATAAGTGGAACAACAAATCAACGTTTCTCTGTCTGTCTGTCTCTCTCCTTTCCTCTCTCTCCCCCTCTCTCAAATCAATAAATAAATTTAAAAAAAAGAAATGAAACCTAAGAAGACAAATTACTGCCATTGGGAGGGGACTTCAGGGGTATTGTGTGAGATAAAGGTATGTCATAGGTGATAAAGCATGGTTGGTAACAGCCAGGATTGGAGAGTCATAGTGCATGGGCTCAAGTCCCAGGTCCATGACTTACTAGCCATGCAGATCTTGAGTTACATAACCTTGTGGAAACTCAATTTTCTTCTCCACAAAATGTAGTTAATAAAGGTATCTACCTTAGGGTTATTGAGAAGATTTAATACGTTAGTACATACATGATTTTTTAGATGCTCCCTGTATTTTAGAGCACACAAATTGGCTTGGGAATCATTATAGTCATATTAACATATAATATCTGGCGTTTTAAAGCTATAAATTATATTTCCTGAGATCTCAGCATTTCTTTTAAATGGTAAGCCGGGTCATCATGGCTCAGTGGTTGAGTGTTGACCTTGAATCAGGAGGTCACAGTTTGATTCCGGGTCAGGGCACATGCCCTTGTTGTTGGCTCGATCCCCTGTGTAGGGTGTGCAGGAGGCAGACAATCAATGATTTTCTCTCATCATTGATGTTTCTATCTCTCTCTCCCTTTCCTTTTCTCTCTGAAATCAATAAAAATATACACTTAAAAAATGGTAAGAACAGTATGACAACAACATCCTTGAGTTCAACTTTGAAAAAAGACAAAAAACATTATTTGCCCTAGCCGGTTTTGCTCAGTGGATAGAGCGTTGGCCTTTGAACTGAAGGGTCCCCTGTTCGATTCTGGCCAAGGGCACATGCCTGGGTTTCAGGTTTGATCCCTAGTGGGGGGCATGCAGGAGGCAGCCGATCAATAATTCTCTCATCATTGATATTTCTATTTCTCAATGCCTCTCTCTTCCTCTCTGAAATCGATAAAAATATATTAAAAAAAACAAAAGCAAAACATTATTTATAGTACTACTATTTTCATTTGCTTATTACTTTCCAGTCTTGCTTCATATGCTTATGTATTTAGAGTTACAGTGAAACAATGAGTATTTTGATTGTTTCATTATAACTTTGCTATTATAGATATATTTTTTAAAAAATATTTTTTTATTGAGTTCAGAGAGGAAGGGAGAGAGAGAGAGAAATATCAATGATGAGAGTGAATCATTGATCAGCTGCCTCCTTCACAAACCCTACTGGGGATCGAGCCTGCAATCCAGGCATATGCCCGTGACTGGAATCAAACCTGGGACTCTTCAGTCCATAGGGCAACTCTCTACTGAGCCAAACTGGCTAGAGCTATAGATATATTTTTGATGTGTAGAGAGAAAGCACTCAGTCCCCTGGTATGGTAGTGTTGGTGGCTGTCATGATCTCAGTGAGTTCTTTTCTCAGAATTGTCCTCAGTGTTGTCTCAGGGAGAACCATAAAGCTTTAGGACGCACCCTCTTGAGGGTGACCCACATCCAATGATTGGTCTCCGGGGAGTGGATAAAGACCAGGCCCTGGCCCTTGCTGGGTTGCTCAGTTGCTTAGAGCATTGTCCCAATATGCCAAGGTTGTGGGTTCGATCCCCAGTCAGGGCACATGGGTGGAACAAATTGATCTCTCTCTCTCTCTCTCCCTTCCTCTGTTTAAAATCAATTTTTTTAAAAAAGAGACCATGCCCTGTTGTCTTGATCAGGACAGCCGTAAGGGCCATCTCAGCTCCAGCGCTCCTGTAGAACTGGCAGAGGCCTGTCTCAGGAGCTCCCTTGAGGAGCTAGTATGGACATACTATGAAGTGGCAGTGAATCTATGAGCGCAATCTCAGAGCCACTACTTAACCACTTTACATGTAATAAAGCATTATGTAAATATTATTATTATCTAAAGACCATTTTAAGAAGGATATTTAGATATTTCTATTTCTATTATGCCTATATAGATACAGAGATTACATGTGCATATAATACACATAATGTGTATTGCAGTCCAAATAATTTAGATTTAAAAACAGGATATTATTGCAATTAAAAATAGCATTAAGTAATTCCGATTTTTTTTATAGAACTCAAGCCAAATTTATGTTCATAGTAAAGTGGGAGGAATCATATGAGCACAATTATGCTACTGTCCAGAATTATTGACACAGGGAAACCTGAATAATGAACTCTATAAACACAGTTCTTCTATTGAATGAATATGAATCTATTCATCAAGGTATTCTTCCTGGCTTTGCATCTTTCTCAAAGACCTTGTTAGAAACCCTCACCAAGGCAAATAAATGCCATGACGTGGGTGTTCTAGAGCCCTGGCCTTCCTTGCTTACAAAGTGAGTCTGGTTATCAAAGATGGCGCAGGTGGGGGCCAGAGACTTGGGAAACTTAGATGACCTGGGTGGACATTTGATGTAGACAGAGCTCCTTGGTCTGAGGGTTATTCTGAATCAGATTTTATCTTGAAGGGATTTTAAGAACCCGGGGAAAGAGAGCTCTACTCTGCTACACCTTGATGCAGAGCCAGAATTAACTGCTGAGATATGGTAGATGTGGGAGTGCTTGCTCCCTGCCAGGGCCTTAACCTGAAGCATTTGATGTTAAATTGAGCTCTGGAAAGAAAAACTTGAAAAAATAGTCGAAAAAATGTGGTTATGTTGAATACCCTCAAACCCTGCCAGTCATTTATAACAGTGAGTAAACACATACTGCAGTCCTTTAAGACTAGACATCCTTTGCTTTTGAAGTAAATGATAAGTGAGTATTCAACTACTGTATGGAAAGACACAGGAAATGACTCTTGAGGACTTTCAAAGTTCTAATTATGTCACAGTCCTCCACTGGCTTTCTCCTGAAGCTGATAACTCACATACAGTTCCGTTCGTACCGGAGCCAACAGTTCAGTTATTTTGCAAGTGTTTTGTACTTGGCTGTAGCAGACTCTCCCGAGTGGTGTGGCTTGCTCTGTCAGACTGACTCATCACCTCAAAAGAGCAGCCTGGCTTTGTGACTAATCACCGTCAAAGAAACCAAACTTTTAATGGTTATAGGCATATTCTCTTTCCTCTACATTTTTTTTAAAAAATATCTTTTTATCGAACCTTTAGAGAGCGAGAGAGAGAGAGAGAGAGAGAGGAAGAGAGAAGGAGAGCGATAGAAACATCAATGAGAGAGAAACATCAACATGAATTGGCTGCCTCCTGCACGCGCCCTGCTAGGGATCGAGCTGGAAACCAGGGCCTGTGCCCTGACTGGGAAATGAACCGGTAACCTCTTGGTGCAGGAACCGGTGTTCATCCACTGAGCTACACCAACCGGGCTCTTTTGTCTATTTAGCTGTTAAAAAAATGTTTATTTCTACAAAGCTTGGCTGCAATTTGTAAATATATATCTGCCTTTAATGATCCTTCCAAGTAGCCCCCAATACATACGTGCGTGTGTGTGTGTGTGTGTGTGTGTGTGTGTGTATTTATATATTCACTTTTCTTGCTAGTAACTTTCATGGCTCACAAAGGTGAGTTGGTCAGTTTCTGTTGCAGAACCTGACATCTGAGGGGTTTGAAACAGCACTGGGCACAGCCGACTCCCCCGGAGCTTTGGGCATCCTGCTTTGAGGGTTGGCCCCAGCCTGCCCAAACCCCTGTTACAAAGCATTGGTCTGTGGTGCTGCCAAGTCCCTTTGTAATTGCCTGTTTCGACACCATCCCTGGAGGGAATAGCTCAATCTCAGTAAGAGAATAATTTAATAATTTATTTTTTCAGTTTCTGACAGCAAAGGAGGCTCCTAAGGTAGCGATCAGTATATGGTTGAATGTGTGAGGGTGACTCTGATCCTTGCCACAGTGCACTGGCTCACAGAAGAATAATTATAATGATTCCCAGAGGTTCTCATTAAATTCCTGATGCCTAGGAAGAGTGCCAGGCAGCTCCTGGGAGACCTGAGCGGCGTGGCTGTCTCAAGCTGGTGGGCCCCGGTTTGTGTTTGCCTTCTATAAGATGGTAGGCAACGATACCTCTCCTCCATCAGTGGAGACCAGAGCTGAAAATGGAATTTTAGGAGTTTAGACAAAGCCTCATTCATCGCGCCCCTTTCTCAGAGGAAGAAAATGAACACAGGAAGGGCCAGGGAGCTGCTCGTGGTTCAGCCAGTTAATCAAAGCCAGGATTGCAAACCAAACCCAGCTTCTCTGATTAGTGCTCTTTCCACTGTACCACCGCTGCGTAGGGCTTGGAGGATAATTTACACACAT